ATTAAAATTAGTTTATTAAAAACAAAAAGTTCGCAAATGTTGTGTATTGAGATTTTATTTCAAACGCAATGAAAAAATGAAATATTTCATTGGGACCAAGCAATGCATGAAATAACCAAATGGTCTTGATTAGATTTTCAATAAAGTATTTAAAAGTACTCGAAATTCCTCCAACACTGGTTAACTCTGCGTGGCCAAGCGAGGAAAAAAAAGATTGCCTCATGCGTATAAAAAAACTTAGTGGATCAAGTACGAATCCCCGCACTGGTCCTAAAATAATACACACCAAAATATCGCCATCGCACAGTCATCGAAAGGTCATGAATTCCACGTATTTATCACGTATCGATAAAAAAAAAAACTCCCACCAATTCATTGTCTTCCATCTGAATTACGATGAAAATGAAATAAAAAAATAATAGTAATAAATAAAAAAGAAAAAAAAATCCTTAAAATTCCCCAGGTTGCGATCACGACGAGCGCGAGGAGCACTTGGAGGAGTTGGTGAACCGTCTCGAGAGCGTGACAAAGCGCCTCGAGCAAGTGACCTCGACGAGCTGCCCGCACCACCAGTCCCAGGCCCATCAATCGAGCGGGACATCTGTCGTAAGGACAACGCAAGAGATCGCCGTCCAGACGAAGTCCCCGTCACCCGAGCGCTCGCTCTCCCTAGCCGACGAGCCGTCCCAGTCGTCCTCGGCCTCAACGGTATCGTCCGCCCCCTCGGTCGTCGAGGTCGTCAAAAGCATGTCGCTCGCCGCTTACGAGGACATCATCGCGGGTCCCCTGCAGAACTATGTTAAGATCAGCCAGAAAATCGGCGGACTCGTCGCCGAGCACTCGGCGCTCATCGAGAAGGCCTTCAAGTGAGTATATTTTAGAGTAGCGATAATTTTGTCTACATAAAAAACTTTTGGTATTGAAAGAGCCGCTATAAAAAATTCTTAATAAACTTTTTAAAAATATTTTTAATTTTTTTGTTCCACATAAATGTAACTGTGATATACAATATTCTAAAGTATGCGTTACTAATCATTTAAGAAACAATTCATACCAAAAATCGTAATTACATAAAATTCTGAAATAATTTAATAGTTATTACACAATGTGCCAGAAAAATTTTACCATTAAGGAAAAATTACACGTAACTTTTCAGTAAAAATTATTGTATGAATGTTTAAACACTTTCAAGGAAATTGTTTTTCTTAATGAAGTGCGTTTTTTTACTGGAGTAGCATGCAATGGTAAGTGCATTGTTTTTGCTGAAAAAATTATGTTATGCACAGTGTTCTAAGTAAGGTATTATTCGTCAACAAGGGCATATTATAAAAACTCATCAATATTAAAAATCTTATACATGCACTAAAAATAGATGTGGGTAACGAAATAAAAAAAATTATAAAAAATTATAGAAATAAAAAGAAGACGAAGGGGTGCCAAGTGTAGTTGCCGTCACTGTCAACAAAAGAGGGAAAAAGACTACTGCACTTCTGAATATCTCTCTTTTGTTCTTGTTTCCCCGCAAATTTCTGCCTACGCGCGCATATAGCCTCTAATAATAGTGTCACAAACTCTATGATGTCGCACACCTGCCCTCTCAGCTCGAGTTGTCTCTTCATCTCTCTGGCTTTCCGTAGCATATGAGGACACGACTTTATACATTTAATTTCTCTAGCACAGCGTGCATACGAAATAATAATATGTACCCATACATTTATAACTTTAATTCTTTTGCAATTACTATGGAAAGAGACGTAGATGGCACTTGATGAGAGGGAAGAGAATTTGTGTATATTTATTGTAATAATTCAGTCAGTGGTGTATATGCTTGTTTATTTAAGATTTTTTTTGTCTCAATTCTGTCTAAAATCAAAGTGAGCTTTTATTAAGAAAAACACAATAAAATCACTAAAGTGGAGCTTATGTTGTAGACTGAGTTTATAAATAGGTATAATATAGAGTAGAATGTCTGAACGAATCGGATAAAACTGCCGGCCGTTGGATTAGTAATGATACAATCCTGCATATCTGCCTATATAACACCTGAAAGGGGTTATCGAAGATTTTTTTCATATTTCTAAAGTTGATTTTTGAAAAAAAAAAAAAAAAAAAAAGTTGTTTCCCAATAATAATTTTCGATAATATGACATTGTATAACATTATGAAATAGTTGAAATATTGAAAAATAATACTCAAGATCTCAGTTAGTGTACTTACAACCTTTAGTTCTGGTCAACACCGTAAAAACATGTACTATTAACGTAGTCTTCAAACTTTTAACGATATCTTAATAATAGTAAAACTATACAAACTTCTGAAACCATTGCGATTAAAATTTCTACACATTATCTAGAATAATACTGTAGTTTTTAAGCAAATAAAATTTTATCACAACTTCCTCAAGCCGTGGCTAATTTTTTTCTTTTTTTTTTTTTTTTTTTTTTTTTCGAGATAATTTGAGACACGGGAAGATATGTATTTAACACACATGTGGCTGCCCATCAGCGTTAAAGATACCCACGAACTTATTTATATTATGTTGCTCTATATTTACGAAATGTCACACGTCGTGGCTTTTATTTTCGAAATTTCGCAATACAATGTTTCTCTGCGGCTCTGTCGCGTATGAATATAGAGAGTAAAAAGGCAATACTTACATGAATTTTTGAAACTTCAGAAAAATTAACGTACATGTTTATTACACTATAGTAACATTGATAGAGCTGAGCAAAATTTTATATAGGTATTTAAATAACTAAAAATTGTATTCAACAGAAATAATAATTGCAATATAATCCAAAAAAAACTTTTTAATAATAATAATAATAATAATAGTTAATTACGCTTATTTTAATAAATACTAGAAGTATGTCTTCAACATACTCCAAAATTTAACTATTTAATTTGAAGCTCGATTTGAAGTACAATATTGAAAATGAAAAATTAAAAAATACAATCGTATCTTATCAAATGATTTAAATAAATTATTTTATTTATTATAATTACGTGGAAAGTACTGTGATTTGAAAATTTATTCAAGGTGTCGTGAAAATTTTGTAACATACTTTTTTTTAATAATTAAAGTTATATGTCCTTTGATATTTTACGAAAACGAGAAACTAGATCACCGAAGGAATATTGTTAGTTTTTTGACACATGTGTTTAGGTACAGAGCCCCCAAGATTAAGTTTATAGTATGATCTGTACGATCAGGAAGATATCACTGTGAGTCCTGAATCTATATATTATACTCCTTCTACTGACACATTTTTTTTCATTCCCTATTGAATCGATTTTTTTTTTTTTACCACTTGATGTGCAAGACACTTGATATTGATATATTTTACATGAATGAGTAATGAATGAACGACCCCTTGATTTTATTATTTTTTTTTTTTATTCTTTATTGTAAGAAATCGTTACGTCGCTCTTATTCTGATGAGAATATTGTAAAAGAATTTAATGATTCAATAAGTGAAGTTGAAATAAAACAATATTATAAGAGTAGTCGACAAGTCCGCACACTCGAAAAATTCTCAAAAATGTAAAAGGGCTTTAAAAATTCACGAACCTCGGACTTTGTAAGGTCTTGAGCTCTTTATCTCTCAACTGAGTAATCTGCACATAGGTATACATGTATACTGCAGAAGGGTGGGATATCGAACTTCCTACGTTTTAAACTTTTTTTTATACTTATATGCGAGTATTGGAAAAAGAAGATGCGATAACTAAAATAGCTTTTAAAAGCTCTTCACGGAACGTACGATATTTATTAAATGCTGATGGATGAGTCATGTTTATAGTGCTCCATCGAGTATTCTACATGAATATTTTTTCGTTAAAAATATTGCTAAATCGATTAGTTGCGCGATAGAGATTTCGAAAACTGAATTTCACACCTTGATATTTTAAAAAAATCTAATTTTTGAAGTTGATAAGTTTAAAAATATGCAGTATTGAAATGTAGTGCAGATCAAATCGAATTTGAATAAAGCTTTGGTATATGCTTCTTTACAACGAAACGTGAGAAAACCACAGGATACACTCTCAATATTTATTGCGAACAATTCAATTGTGTACATTAAAATACGTATATTTAATATAATTTTAAACACAATAATTTTTTTTTTTAATTGTGACCAAACAGAATTTTTGCAAGAATTTTCTTTATAAAAACTCAAGTAAAATTATAATGTTTTGATGGTTACCGTAATTTTTTTTTAGGTCTAAATATTTGTTTGTAGTAAAAAGATAATTTTTATATTAA